TTGATTCTGTGCTGTGTAAATTCTTTGTCATGTTGTTTCTCTTGTGCCGGGATGGAGTTAATTATTTCCAATTGAATCTAAGTATATTTTCAGAATGAGGGGGAAGCCCAGATATAGCACTTCTTAGCTTTACAAGCATCCTTGCTGTGCTGCAATTAGGAATGTCACAGCACCAATTGTCTTCACAACTGCAAGGCAATCTAATGGCTTAATAAACAACACTTTTCCCCCCTACAAAATGAGTGTCTACACATGCTAAATTTGCAGCATTAATTAAAAACATTATTTCTCAGTGGCTTTTGGGAATATAAGAGCACATTATGCTGCAGCAAGTTCAGCAGAAAATGTGTGTTTATGGAGGTTTGAAGCAGCACATGGTCTAGGTAGAGGTGGTTTTTTTTTTAATTTTGTGCTCACCAGATATTTTAGATTATAACTAGTACTTAGAACTATGCAAGTTGAAACCAGTGGCCTCAAGGGCTCAAGTCTGAAGGACAATTAGTTGGCTTCCAGACAGTGATCCTAGTACTTATTAGATCAAAAAGCATCTTGGTTCTATAATCATGGGATCTCTTTCTCCCTAGCAGATTTTTTTCTCATAAAAAAACACTGAAAATATTGTCACATATTGACGCTAACTTGTTGACACTACACGATGAAGAAGTGTCAGTATGTTAGAAAAACAGCATCTGAAATTATCACAGTCTTGGAAGGGTTAGGATATGGAACATAAACATAAACATAAATAGTTGAACATATTCAGGTATCTTGGCATCACATCCTGACTTCCACTTTCTTCATTGGCTTCTGTGGAGAATTCTTATTAGAAACTTAAAAAGTTAATAAATCCATGGTGAGAAATTATGAATTTATTTATTTATGTGCTTAATAATTTGCCTTCCATTTCCTTTTTCAGTGAATAGACTGATAACTATTTATTGTTCTTGTTCTTTTAACCTGGGAAGTAAATCTCCTCTTATTAAGAGCCCTGGTGGCGCAGTGGTTAGAATGCATGTACTGACTGCTGGCTGACTGCAGTTTGGCAGTTCAAATCTCACCAGGCTCAAGGCTGACTCAGCCTTCCATACTTCCGAGGCTGGTAAAATGAGGACCCTGATTGTTGGGGGCAATATGTTGACTGTAAACCACTTAGAGAGAGCTGTAAAACACTGTGAAGCAGTATATAAGTCTAAATGCTATTGCTATATGTTGGTATATTGAACACTCAAAGCTGCTGACAATGACCCTAACTTCTAACCCCCAAACATTAAGGAGTTTAAAACATAGGCTAACATTGACATTAAAGTAAGTACTAAAATCAAAACCTTGCAAAGGAGATACAGATAGTCCTCGACGTACAACATTCGAAGTTACAATAGCACTGAAAAATGTGACTAATAATCGGTTTTCACACTTACAACTGTTGCAACATGCCCCTGGTCACGTGATCAAAATTCAGGCACTTACCAACTGGCATGTATTTATGACAGTTGCATGTCCTGGGGTCATGTAATTACCATTTGTACCCTTCCAACAAGCAAAGTCAATGGGGGAAGCCAGATTCACTTAACGACTTTATGATTCACTTAATGACTTGATTATTCACTTAACAACTGCAATGATTCACTTAATAACTAAAATGGGGCACAATTTACTTAACAGCTGTCTTGCTTAGCAACAGAAATTTTGGGCTGATAAATCAAGGATTACCTGTATCTCCTTGCATTATCTAAGCATTCAGAGCTTGGGACCCAAATTTATCACTCAAAAAAATAGGTCTCATAACCTAAGAGTAATGAGAAGATCCTTCTACACATCCAAGAAAAACAGGATCTGAGATCAAGAGATCTTCAAAGTGGGCATTTCCTGCAGATCTTAACTTTCAGGCCATTGTTAGATTTGTATTCCACCTTTCCTTCAGGAATTCAAGATAGCATGCATAGCACTTTCTCTTCCAATCCTTTAATACTGTGCTAATCTTTTGAACTGAGAATAAGAGAGATGCAAAATTGCATAGAGAAATGTTGTATTTGAAGTTGGCCTTCCTGATATAGGCCTTCACCACAACATCACATTCACCACACATCATTCCATCTTTAAATATAAACTTTCCTTAAACTGTTGTCAAATTCTTCCTGATATTGGGTTTAATGTGTCTATTTCCCACATTTTCTCCGTGGTGGACCTCAACAGCTGACATACTACTTATATTGCTGTTGTAAGCAATTGCTGTTATTTTATTATTTTATAATAAAATAAAGAAATAAGAGAAAACACATGTGGGATTTCCAACCCACCACTCATCCAGATGCTAAGTAGCCTAAAACCATTTACCAAATTCACTGCATCTCATCTTCAGAATATGCCTTTTGAACTGCATAAAGTCAAATCACCAAAAAGATAACTTTAGTATCTAAATCTAGATATTTGCATAAACAGCCACATGCCAGATAAGACAAAGTCACCTTTTATAAGATAGGCAGCTATAGGTAAATGTGAGGAATAAATAAAATTCACCTTTTCCAGGACAGAGGCAGTATCCCTAGAAACTGTAGAAATGAATCAAACCTGCTTCTCAGAAATGACAAGAACTAACTATCCTGATAAGCAAATCTTCTATTATTGAAACACAGCTCCTTCCATAACAAACAGGTATAGTAATAATTCCCTTTATGGTCTTGCAGATACTGTAGATACTTTCAGCAGAGAATATTCAATATCTGTACTGTGTATTTACTGAACTCAAAGCACCAAGTTCTTTGAAAGCAGACAAGGAAATTAAATAGGTAGAGAATCATAATGGCTTGTTATACATAAGTACTGTCAAAGACTAAGATGGGGAATACCATAAAGTTCATAGATCCAACATTGTTGTTTGTAATGCTTCTTTAACCTTGAATTCAACCAAAGTTCTAATCTGGGGTTCTAATCTAGTTTTCCCCATTTTTCAAATATGCTAGACTGTAAATCCAGTTGCCTAAAAGTACTGAAAGATGCTGTTTGAAGAACACTAGCTTCATAAAAACTATTCCAATCTCAGTGTTTACTCTTTTAAGTAGTAGCCAGTCACCCCAAATCAGTGAATGATCCATTCTAGATGACTATTAACCATAAATTAGTTGAGAATTTCAAAGGATAAATTGGGAGGGTGAAGATCTGATGGATAAAAATCCTTTCTTGAGGGACTGTAGAGAGCGAGAGAATTACATGCAAGACAGGACACATCCATAACCCCCCTAATATTACTCCCCCAATCTAGTGCTTCTAAATGACCTGCCCAACAACTTTCGTACTCTCCAACTAATAGAATCATGTTTCTTTCTTTTACATCCAGAAACATTATGTCAGGGAAGGCTGATATTGTTGAAGAGAAAAACCTCTCCAGCTTTCCTCAAAACTGATGCCTCCTCTTGTTGGAGTATAATTTTTAGAATTCTCGCCAATAGAAAAGCAGACTTCAGAATGCTGAGCTAAGACTTAACCTAGATATTTTTACATCATATCCCTGAGTGTGTGATCCATAGATTCTAGCCATCAAGTCCTGCCCATCCATCTGTCATTTTTCAACCAAAGCTAAAATTTGTTTGCTTATTTATAGGTTGTTTTTTAATACTGTGTATTCCTTCAGATTATATCCATTTAAAGCAGTGCAGTTGGACTAGATGAGTGGCGGATGACCGCTTGCAAAGCCGACAAGGATGGGGAAACTCAGTGTCCTCCAGAGACTGGGCGTGCTGGTTTGGGTTTAGGAAACCCAGTCATTTGCAGGCATAGGCTAGGAAAATCTGCGCTAAAACGTTTTCCTTCTTTCCCCGCGCCCTCCGTTAGATCTTCACTATCACCAGCTAGCAACACCACCCCTTTCTCCGAGAAGTGGCAGACACGGAGGCTCGTCTGTTATCACTGCAGAATGGTCACCTTGTCGGTTCAGGGGAGGGAGAGGGAGCGGACCCCCATTTTGCGCCGCACGCCTCTCTCACGCATGCACCATGTGGGCCTCCCCCTGCTCATTCCCCAGTTTCAGCCGCGGAAAAGTGGGTCACGCAGATCGCTGCAAAATCTAGGGTGGCGGAATGCAGGTTGCCCCATATGCCCCCCCCCCCCGTTCCTTTCCCTGCAGCTATAGCCAGGGACTCCTCTGTCTCTCCTCTCCCCGCCCCCCGCGCTTCACCTTCTTCCGCATGAGATCAGCGACTGATCCCCTCCCAGCACGTTAGGCGTCTCCCGCGCATCGCCGCGCCGTTTTCCACAGGGGGGCCGGGGGGAGGGAGATCACTCGTTCTCCTTCTAATCCAGCCCATGGAACGGCTCTTCTTCAAGGCTGGAACCGAGAACTCGAGGATGCGGACTCGAGGCAGGTGGGAGGACGAGCTGGGGGATGCCTGAAAGGCGAACCACGACTCATCTCCATGCCACCCACCGAGTTTTCTCCGGCAATCGCTTGAGAAACCAAAACAGCCCTAAAGCCCTTTTTGACAGAAATGGCTCGTTAAAATCAAAGGCGCGCACACACCCCAATCAACTTTCCGCACAGTTCATCTCGGCCCAGGAACCTTCCCCTTCCTTTACCCCCCGTGTCGGCGAATCTGTCCCATCTGCACTTCCCGCAGAGGGGAAAACTTTCGTCTGCCGAAGCTGCATCTTTTTCCAGCAGAAAGAAAGGCGGCGTGGGGGTGGGGGGGGGGGAGAGATCGGGAATAGCCGCGTTCAGAGATTCAGGGCCACACCTCCCCGAGATGCCCAAACAGCACCATTTTATCTTCCGCGCCTACTCCACCACCACCACCCGCTTGGTACCAGCATTTCACCCATCAGAGCAAATCTCGCTTCTACTCCCCATTCTGAAAAAGCGAAGGAAAAAGACAGCCAACAGCCATCCACAGATTGCCTCCCAGGCGATTCCCCTTAAGAGCCATACGAAAAAGAGCGGAGGTTAAGGTGAACCAGCGCCGAGGTCGCCTCAAGGAGAAGGAAGGGAGAAGAAGGTGTCTTCCACTTACGCACTGCCTCCTGCTTGGGATCCAAACTGTGTAAAATGGTTTGGACGCCGCCAATCCGGCTGTGGAGCGCCTGGACCCTGCGGTGAGTGAGCTGGATCTCGCTCTCGATTTCTTGGAAAAGGGTGCAGGCGTGCTTGGCCACATCGGAGAGTTGCCGGAGGATCCGCGAGAGAGCCACATTGCTGACCGAGCATAGATCCAAAAGCATCAACGCCGCTGCCTCCTGGTTCTCCTTTCCTTCGGCGGGCAACGCTGCAGCCAGCCCAGCCGGAACCTCTTCCTCCGGCTCGTCCATCGCCTCCCCGGGCTCTCCTCGGAAGCTCACTGGCTGAGGAAGCTCAACTCCGGAGTTCTCGTCTAGCACCGAGGCGATGTGCTGCCGCCGGCACAGCCTCTGGGGCTTCACGATCCTCTTGGCGAAGGGCATGACCAAAGCCTGCGGCGTCACACTCTGTGTGGATGTCGCCGCTTCCCCGCCCGCTTCTTCCTTCCCAGCCCAAAAGCCAGCAGTCCGAGCCGCCAGCCTCCACTGTCCGGACTCTTTGCAACCAGACTGCGGGATCGGCGGCTGCTTCCACCGCCTCTTCCAAACCCTTCACTTGCTTACAGCCGGCATCGGCAGGCGCGTTATTCCCCCATGGCGATCTTCTTCGCCGCCTGGATCCTTTCGCTTTTGGAAAGCGACCGCTGCGCCGCGTCCCCAGCCACCTTCGCCGCCGGTTTATCGGTTGCTTCCCTAATCGCTCCCTCCTTCCCTCTTTTCCCTGCTCTCTGCAAGCTTCCTCCTTCTGTCTCTCGCCTCTTGCTTCCCGACACAGCTCCAGCTTTCAACGCGAGAGAACGGGATGGATTTTTAAAAGATGGCTTGAAAACCCGGAGAAAGGAATTCGCCCAAAGCTTTTGTGAGGAGGAGCAGGCAGGCAGGGAGAGACACCCGCGATCTCATAAAAGAGAAAGCGAGAGGTATTCCCCCTCATGACCGCATGGAGTCACTGCAGATTCCGAGCAGCCGCTGTGTGCCAATGCACCATCAATGGGCAATAGGAAGAAAACGGAAGGAAGGTAGAGGAGGGAAGCCTTTAAAAGTTTGACAGCTAAAGCAAAACACCTCTTGCAAGATGGGGTTCATAAAGACAGCAAGAGGTGCGCGCGCATTTAAAATAGCATGCATAAAAGACTGATGATGGAGGATTTTCCCCCTAGGAATATCTTTGTGGTTTAGGCTGCAATCCAATCAGAGTTAAAACTAAATACCTAGGAGAGGAATTAACAATCACCTGATTTGTGCTCTTGTATGCATAAACCTCAGTTATCATGCCCAAGAACATTAGAGTTGGATCCAAAACCATCAGAAGAACATGAGACTGCAACTTCTTACTGCTGAAGGGTATGGCTTGAATAATGGTCAGATATAAGTGAAGGAAAATTAACTCCTCTTCTTCAATGGAATTAAAAAGAATTTAAAATGCCCTCCACTTGAATTGGATTTCCATAGTTTCCATGGCCTTTAATTTAGTAGTCTATCTTAGAACTCTACAATTTCTTGGATATCTAACATCCAAAACCTGATTGACCCCACTTACCGATAGTATCCAGGTCCCCAGGTACCCCCACTAGTAATGGGGTAAATGTTTAGCTGACTACCAGTTTCAGCCCAAGGAGAGTGAACTCAGTGATATCTTCTTCCTGAAATCAGAGTTCCAGAATCACAATCTCTAATTCCCACCTAGCTAGTTGAGAGTTCTGATACTTGTAGTCCCAACTTCTTTCTACCACACCAGGTCATCAGCCAAATAATAAGACTGCAACAAACATCCATGCCTCCTGAGTTTTGAAATTATTTGAATGTGATTTGTTCATGACTCAGGTCATAAATCCCTTCTTTTGAGAGGTTCATCTTTTGACAGGAAGTTTAAATTACTTTTGCTACTAGTGATGTTCTGTTTGTTTTCAAAATACTAAAAGGTATATAGAAGATAAGGCTGAGGACATTCAACTTCAAGCCCATCCTCAGCCTAGAAAATCACTGGCTGGCAGTTAACCCAAGCAACCTTTTTGAACTGTTTTGCAGGGATGAAAAGTAAAAGGATTTCCACATAAACCACCCTGAGCTCTTAGAAAAAAAGGAGAATATAAATCTAAGCAATAGATAATTAAATCTCACTAAATAAGTATAATAAATCAAGGAAGGAAATCAACAACTGGCAGTTAACCTGAACATGTTTTACTGCAGGTTTGAAAGGAAACTACAGCCACCTATCTCCACAACCCCCATCTCAGACACACTAACAACAGCCAAGCCTCCTACAACTGACCCCATCCCATTGGGTTCACAACCCCTAGTGATCACAGAAAAGGAAATGCAAGACCTATTTCACAGACAAAAGCCAGGAAAAGCTCCAGGCCCAGACAAGGTAACTCCTTCTTGCTTAAAAGTCTGTGCTGACCAATTGGTCCCCAACTTCACCCGAATCTTCAACAAATCGCTAGTGATGTGCTATGTTCCTTATTGCTTCAAACACTCTACTATCATCCCAGTGCCGAAGAAGCCCACCATCAAGGAACTGAACGACTACAGACCAGTTGCTCTAACATCTGTAGTTATGAAAACCTTTGAAAGGCTAGTGCTGTCTCACTTGAAAACCATCACGGATCTGCTGTTAGACCCCCTGCAATTTGCATACCGAGCAAATAGATCAACAGATGATGCTGTTAATATGGCTCTGCACTACATCCTACAATATCTTGAATCTCCAAAGGGTCCTCTTTGTAGACTTTAGTTCAGCATTCAACACCATCATTCCAGACATTCTTCTAACTAAGCTAAAACAGCTAATGGTACCTGAAGACACCTGTAAATGGATCATAAGCTTCCTAACAGACAGGAAGCAGCAGGTGAAACTAAGCAGAATCACATCAGATACCTGTACAATTAGCACAGGGGGCCCACAAGGCTGTGTGCCCTCTCCACTTCTCTCTATATACCAATGACTGCATCTCAAATGATCCATCTGTTAAACTACTGACATTTGCAGATGACACAACAGTGATTGGTCTCATTCGAGACAGTGATGAATCCTTGTACAGATAGGAGGTTGAACAACTAGCCTCGTGGTGCGACCAGAACAATTGAACACACTCAAAACCGTAGAAATGGTGGTGAACTTTAGGAGAAACCCTCCCATATTACCACCTCTTACAATACTAGACAACACAGTATCAACAGTAGAGACCTTCAAATTTCTAGGTTCTACCATATCTCAAGACCTAAAATGGACACCTTACATCAAAAACGTCATCAAAAAAGCACAACAAAGAATGTTCCTTCTGCACCAACTCAGAAAGCTCAAACTGCCCAAGGAGCTGCTGATACACTTCTACAGAGGAATTATTGAATCTCTCATCTGCACCTCTATAACTGTCTGGTTTGGTTCTGCAACCCAACAAGACAGACACAGACTTCAGAGGATAATTAGAACTGCAGAAAAAACAGTTGCTGCCAATCTGCCTTTCATTGAGGACCTGTATACTGCACGAGTCAAAAAGAGCGCTGTGAAAATATTTACAGACCCCTCACATCCTGGAGATAAACTGTTTCAACTCCTACCCTCAAAACGATGCTATAGAGCACTGCACACCAGAACAACTAGACACAAGAACAGTTTTTTCCCCGAATGCTATCACTCTGCTAAACAAATAATTCCCTCAACACTGTCAAACTAGTTACTAAGTCTGCATTACTATTAATCTTCTCATTGTTCCTATCACCCATCTCCTCCCACTTATGACTGTAACCTTGTTGCTGGTATCCTTACAATATATATTGACTGTTTCCTAATATGATTTGATTGCTTATTTGTTCCCTATGACTATCATTAAGTGTTGTACCTTATGATTCTTGATGAATGTATCTTTTCTTTTATGTACATCGAGAGCGTATGCACCAAGACAAATTCCTTGTGTGTCCAATCACCCTTGGCCAATAAAGAATTCTATTCTTTTCTATTCTATAATGTGGATATACTTTTGATACACTAAGTTGTTCTAGGAATTTTGGAACACAGAACAATAGGTCCTAATAAGTACAATAAAACTGTTTCCAGAGAGATAACACTGTTAGATTTTAGCAGCAAGAAAAACAACAAAGAGTTTTCTGGCACAAAAACACAAGTGATAATAAATTGCTTTAAGGGGCCACAAAAATCTTTTTAAAGTATATATATAATAAAAGATTATAAAGCCTTTTGTACATTAATCAATTTGCAGGATCAATTGCCAACAGGAAATGGATGTCTGGAATTGCCCAGGAAATGTCCCCAGAAAGATATAGTATTTGAAAGCCGTAATTCCTAATTAATCATTGACATTTTATGCAGTTAGGAATTTATCATAGATATGCCTCCCACAAGAGTTTGCTTATCACAGTAACTTGCAGATTGTATTGCTTCCATCAGTAGATGCTGGGACCACATCCACAGCCTTGTGCTCCAGTCCCTTTTGGCAGCCATCCAGCCTCCTCTAATTTGATGGCAAATGGCTCTCCTTTTTCAAAAAAGTAAAAAAGCTGAGCTGAGACTTTAACAGTATGTTTACATAATTCCCACAGAAAAGACAACCCTTCCTTTGTAATGACTATATTTGCTTAGTGCCATGGCCCAAGTAGCTCTTCATTGCCACACCTCAGCAGCCCCTAGCCATAAAATCATTATTTACCTTTAAGTTACACATGTTTGTGCAAACATATGTCAGATGGCACATTAGGCACAACCTTGCTGAAGCAACACAGATCTGGGTCTACTCAGTACCATAGATGAAAAATCCATTTGAATTCTATGGGTCCATCTTAGGGTTTCCCAGTTGCAGAAAGGTATCACTGTACTACACAAATGGCTAGGTTCACACAATAAGGTAAGTCAAAGCCAAAAATATATTATTATTTTTCACTGTATTAAAAACAACAAATGTATGTACAAATTAAGTATATATGAATGTATGTACTTTAGAACTGGGCAATCCATGATTCTATGAATTTTCACATGTCTCCATGTCTCATGCTTCCAGATGTTTTGTACAAATGATGCAATTTGTGCCATTTGCACAATGGTGTCATGAAGTGTATGACACCCCCCCTCCCTTTGTGCCTAATAATGGATGCTGGTCAGGTGTGAAATGCTCCCGGTTCGGACCAGATCGCCCAATCCGGTAGCGATGGCGGCGGGTGGTTCAGAGAACCAGTAGCAAAAATCCCTGCCCCCCCGCAATACCCAGCTGAGCTGTGCGATCATCAGAGGCTTTTTTTTTCTTTTAAAAGCATTTTTTCTACAACCTCTTCAACCGAAAAAAATGCTTTTAAAAGTTAAAAAAAAGCCTCTGATGATCACGTGGCTCAGCTGGGATCATCAGAGGCTTTTAAAAGCATTTTTTCTACAACCTCTTCGGCCGAAGAGGTTGTAGAAAAAAAAAAGCCTTTAAAAGCCTCTGGCGATCCCAACTGAATTGCCTGATCGTCAGAGGCTTCTAAAAGCCTTGTAGAGGTTTTTCTACAACCTCTTAAGGTTGTAGAAAAAATGCTTTTAAAAGTAAAAAAAAAAAGTTGGCCATGCCCACCCAGTCACATTACCATCATGCCCACCAAGCCACGCCCACAGAACTGATAGTAACAAATTTTAGATTTCACCCCTGATGCTGGTGGATTAAAGTAAATTCCACTATGTGTTTTGGATTAGACGCCTCCCCCCCAATTTCTAATAGCTGAATCAACTTCAATTATGGCTTAACTTAAACTCTCAATGTTCCCTAATAGTTTTTATCATAAACATAAGTAAAACATTGTTTTAAGATGCCGTCTGGATGACAGTGCTCAATATGCAATGTTACTTAGCTACAATCATTCATGCCCTTATTATCACCCAATTGGACTACTGTGATGCCATTTATATGGGGCTGCCCTTGCATCAGTGAGATGTGTGGCAAAACAAT